GCATATTAATATTTGCATACGTTGCTGGGTCCACCCATTGGCTTTCCTAGAGGAAATGACACCTTTTGTGGTCGGGCCCGTCGTCGTGCTCCCTATTATTTGTTCCGCCTTATAGAGGCGGTCTTGACTCGTATTCTTACCTTATTTGTCAGTAGTAATATACTGTAACGTTAAACATAGAACTGAAATTAAATACAAATATCTCCATAAAATTTATCTCTCTTCCGGAAGGAATTCAATCGGTCTTCCTGACACCCAATCATCTTACAGCCATGCCCCCTTGCCCCTCATTGGTTTGAAGGGTCCCCCTGATTGTCATCTGTCACTTCCTCCTCGCCCCCCACTCACCATCCTTCATTTGCATATGTTAACCCCTGTGGAGCGGGGCGGTTGGCGCTCCCACACAAACAACACTGATCATTACGGCCGCAGAGATTTTGCCGGGTTTTAAAAGGGGCCTAAGCTAAGCTTTCTTTTTTTTTTTTTTTTTTTTTTTTTTTTTTTTTTTTTTTTTTTTTTTTTTTTTTTTTTTTTTCTTTTTTTTTTCTCTTTTCCTTTTTTTTTTTTTTTTTTTTTTTTTTTTTTTTTTTTTTTTTTTTTGTTCTTGCCTAAGCCTAAGCATTTAGCTATATAACCCTTTAGTAAGCTTCCGACCTTTATTAAATCATCAAAATAGACATTTTTGGCTTTATCCTTATTTGAATTATCCAAGTAAATTTAATGCATATTAAAAATAATAATCCCTTATAAAAATAGCTCAATGAACCTAATTTTAATTTTTAGTTTTTAATTTGCCAGAGTCTTCTCCGTTCTCTGACCATTCTATATGACACCTCAGCACCCTGTTCATCCCATCGTGTGACAATATTCCCTCCGGAAACAACACCTCAACCCTTTGCATACCCCGGGGCCACGTCTCGGGCGTAATTGTCGGAATTCAGCAAGGGGGGTGGGTGAGGCGTGAGATTCGAGGCCCCTCCAGTGCTATAGATTTGGCCCCCCACCTTGCAGCAGGTCCTCGTTTTTACGTAGCTGCATTTTTATACCTTCAGTTACGATGACGACCTTACGATCCCTCGGAAATTCGATCCAACAATACCATATGGTCTATCATTAAGCGACGAGAATTTGATACTGCTGGGCCAGGAAAATTGCGCAACTTTTGGTAGGGGGACGGTCTCTAAAGGGGGAGAGACAAAGGGAAGCTGGTGCTGTCAGAGCGTGCTCAAGATTCGCAAAAAATTAGAGTTACGGCGCCTGGCAATTTAAGGTATTTTGTTTTGCTATGGGCATTGAAAATCCGTGATATATAAGTTTAAAGTGGTTAATTTTACGATTTTTGCCGTTTTTCTAGTCTTCACCTACCTTGAACTTTATTGTTTTGTGTTTTTGGTGTCTCTAAGCTTTCTAAAAACTCGAAAGCGAATTTAAAATATCGGAAATCATGGTGCGAACATTTTATAATGTCGACATTTTGGAAATTAGAGATTTCAGAATGTCCAAATTTCCGACGGAATTTGCATAAGCGAATTTAAAAACGCAAATATTACAAAAAAAATCGACATTATGTTTCTGGACATTAAGATTTTCGACATCATTAATTTCGACACTACGATTGTCGATTTTTCGATGTAGCCTTTATATTCCCTTATTACCCTAAATTACCATAATCCCTTATGCAACCCCAACCATCCTCTGTCACCCAATTTTCATCCAGGTAGTACAGCTGTTCGTTGGCTAGTCCCCGACTGTCGATGCAATCTCGCTAGTACATTCGACAAATTGGCTACCACCCCCCGTTGGCTCTCACAGTGGTTCGAGATAATTACCATGTCATCGCCAGTGGATTGGGGGGAGAAGGAGAAGGAGGATCTGGGTCTCCGATTAGCTCGCACCACACACGCATGACCCCTCCAAAAAATGGGGGGCCCACAGCAGCAGCAGGGGGTCCCGCTCCAAAACAATGCTCGCACCACACGCCAACTTTGTCTGTCGGGGGCTGGAAATGTTCTTTGTTTAGGGTGGGTCATTTGGGGATGGTGTTGGTAGTCAGAATTTTTTGAGGGGGTTTTGAAGTGTAAAGCCGAGTAAGCTCGTTAATTTTAAGCTCTCTCTCTAGCTCTCTCGCTCTCTCTCTCGCTCTCTCTCTCTCTCTCTCTCTCTCTCTCTCTCTCTCTTTTCTCTCTCACTCTGCTCTTTCTAGCTCTCTCTCGCTCTCTCACTCCGTTCTCTCTCTCTCTCTCTCTCTCTCTCTCTCGCTCTCTCTTTCTATCTATCGCTCTCTATCTATCGCTCTCTATCTATCGCTCTCTCGCTCGCTCTCCCCTCTCTCCCCTCCCTCTCTATCTCTCTCTCTCTAGCGCTCTCGCTCCCGCATTCTCTCTCGCGCTCTCTCACGCTCTCGCTCGCTCTCTCTCTAAGTCGGTGAGTATTTCTTTTTTGCTTTATTTTGCCATTGCAATGTTCGTCCAACCTGAAAATCCATAAATATCAATACTGCCACTTCCCACCCTTTTCCATCCCATTGGCTACGACAATTCTGGGCCCCAAGCTCCCGCGTGCGCGAGATAACCCTCTTAAGGAATATGCGGTGGTGGTGGCGGGTTGGACCCACTTGGAAGGGCCCTTCTCCTCCTCCTTCTCTTGCTCCACCCATCCGTTCCTCCTTCTGAACGGGGGAAGGGGAGAGTGCAATTAGGCGCCTAATGTATTCGGCGTGGTGGTGGTGGTGTCCCTATAGTGGATGAGGGGGGAGGGGTGGGGCCTGGTGGCATGTTCGCACCTCAGCCCACTCGACCGCAGACAAATACGAAGCCTTCTCTCGCTCCCCTTGGCTACTCAAGATCTCTACTCCATACTCCCCCGAGATATACACAACCTCATGTCTATACACAACCGATGATCTGACCCCTCATATACCACGACTACCAGGTGCTCTACCTGCTACCATTATTTGGACAACATGCCCCCCAGGTCATACCCCACAAAAAAGCAACCACTCGGCGTTTGGCCAGGTGTATTATACCTTAAATCTCGAAATTCCTGGGTAACAGTAGCTGCACTTCGACCGTGGTTTTTCATTTACGGCTAAAATGCTGCATGTCCAACAGCTCTTGCTCTTTTTTCCGCTAAATTTCTCGTTTTTCAGTCATTTTCAACGCAACGCTTCCGGTGCCAAATCCCCGATTCTTCCAAAAATTGAGCTTGGTTTTTAATGAATTAAAGCTACTGAAATGCGTCATTTTCTAAAAACAATGGAGGCTAGAACATGGCGTCCTTTCTTTCCGTGCCCATTTGGTACTGGGCTGGTAGCGGGGGGCTTTTAGCAAGGGGAAACCATTTTTGTTTTTCTGCTATACGTGTCAACAATAGGTACTGTATTTTTCAAATGTTTTAGTAGTTTTTTACATTTATTTTAATAGAAAACTTGTCACAAATTTTGAAAATTAGAAATCTTTGGTCTTTTGGGCATTTTTCATACATTTTTGATGAAAAAGTCAACATTTTTCAAAAAATCTATCTGAAACTGTGCTGAATGCTAAAAATTATTCATATTTGTTATAGGGCCGGTGCGGTTTATTGGGAAAAATTTGTTTCCCCCGTGCTAACCCCCCCCCCGCTAACAGTCCAGTACCAAAAATGCCCAACTACGACCCGATACGACCCATTTTTCGCTCTTTTTCCATTTTTATCCCATTTCCATTCCCCTACTTCCTCAAGTCGAATCGAATTGCACTTGATGCCATAATGGTTGAATATGTTTACGAGGGGTTAAAGGGAAGGGTTTGTCGAGTGGGTTGTCCCTTCCTTGTGCGGGAAATCCGACCCGGGTTCGGGTTCGTACCCTAGCCGGGGAGAGGGAGGCCTGTGTGGCTTGGATTTCACTCCTCCCCTCAACCCTGGAGCACCACCTCTATTACAACTCCTTCGTTCTGCTCGAGAGACGATAACTTATTTGTAGAGGGTTTTTAGAGGTTGGGGCTTAGGATTAGGCTTGGCTTAGGCTTGTGCTTAGCTTCGGCTTAGGGGTAAATTTAAGCTTAGGTTTAAGCTTAGGCTTAGGCTTATCTTGGGATTAGGCTTAGGCTTAGCTTAGGTTTAGGCGTAGCTTGTGTTTAGGCTTCGGTTTGGGGCGGGCCTAGGCTTTATTAACTTTCCTGAAAATTGTCGACTTTAATACCCCCTAAAAGCTCTCGAGGCCCATAGCTTTCGACAGCCCCCCTCAACACCCTTAATCCCTGTTTTATAAACTAAACAACCTCGTCTATACTCGTGTTGCCGCCTATTTCCAAGAATTTTTCGTCTCCTAGACTCTCCTAGACTCTCTAAATTCAATGCTACCAGATTTTTACCGCTTTCTGTCAAAACAATTCGATATCTTCTGGGCCCGATTCCCATTGGTACATCTGGTGTCGATTAGTTGATGCCTGGCATATACAAAATCGTGAGGTGGGGGCTTGCCCAGAAATGGTGCCCCAGGGCTTGGTGGGCAGCTGCCAGAGCACCAAGTGCAAAGTGTTAGATTATGGGAGGGGCTTATAAAGGGGAATCTTTGAGAGAGAGAGAGAGAGAGAGAGTAGAGAGTATCTATACTTTTCTCGTTACCTACTTCTACCTAAAAAAAGTAGAAATCTAGGCTACTGCTCGGATTCGAAGCTCTGACGGCACTATTCTTGTAACGTCAAGACAACAAATAGATTTTGAATTATCAAAACACCTTTTTACTTTTGTTTTTGACCTTTAAAAAGTAACGTTCTCGCGGCTTCTCTTTCCTTTCCGCCGAGATCTCCGATGGATTTCTTTTGTGACGCAGTGGGAAATCGGTTTACCCAATTCACAGCGAGCGTTATTTGAGTTGTGGCCGGGGATACGGCCAAAGACCCAAAGCTATCCATTCACCCCACCCATCCATTTTTTCTTTTTGATCTCTAAACTCTATATTTTTATTCGAATTCGTAGTATTATCATTATTCATGTTTTATGCTAATTCTATTTTCAGGATGCCGCCACGATGGGCTACCCTCGTTTTAATACCATCAATTTTAATCTGGCAATCCATAGAAGCAGGTTTGTAGTTTACTAATTTTTTATTTTAAATTCCGAATTTCAGCCAAAAACCAATGCGAGCCGATCACAATTCCGCTATGCAAAGGCATTGGCTATAATATGACTTCTTACCCAAACCCATACGGACATGAAAAGCAGGAAGAAGCCGGGCTTGAGGTCCACCAATTCTATCCACTGGTTGAGGTATCGATTTTGTACATTATTCTAAATAACCTCGTTTATTTAAGGTCGGCTGCTACCAACATTTGAAGTTTTTCCTCTGCGCGCTTTATACACCAATCTGCCAGGAGAATTATGATAGGCCGATTCCTCCGTGTATGGAACTGTGTCTTGAGGCGAAGAAGAGGTGTTCGCCAATAATGCAACGGTTGGTAGAAATTTACCGGTTTTTCGGTATTTTCGGTATTTTTCTGATACGTAACAAAAAATAAAGCAAGTTTTCGGCATTTTCGATGTTTTTTGAGTTGAAAAGATGATGAAGATAATGAAAAATAGAGATGAAAATTTCGACCTTAATCCAACTAGCCCTTTCAGCTATGGCTTCCGGTGGCCGGAAACGCTGTCCTGTGACGGACTCCCCAAGATGGCCGACCAGTTCACGAGCGGAAATATTTGCGCGGCACCCCCGGATACACCGTCAAAACCGAAACAAAAGCAACAGGTACGCTTCACTTATCAGAAGCGTTACAATGGTCATTTTTAGATAAACCCAATCTCGTCACTCGAAATCGTGCCCCAAGTGGGTATCTCTGGAGCGGATGATTGTGAGTGCCGGTGTGTGCCTCCATTTGAGAAAGCACCTGCTGCGTAAGTTGACTTTAAATTACATTAATTTAAATGGCGTTATTTTGGGCAAAATTAAAGCTTTTAGTACATTTTTGGACGGTTTATCGGTTAGCGTTAAAAAATTTGTAAAAATGCCGAAAATGTCGAAAACTGGGTTTTCACTATATCTTGCTATGTGAAAAACCGGTTTAAAGACTGTTTTTTCATAAGTTACCTTAGCGAATATAACGAAACAAATTCAAATCGAATTCTTTCTTCAGATCTCACGTCGGAAACGTTTCCGGCTGCTCCTATGCCTGTCATGCTCCATCTCATTCCGCCTCCAACCAGAGCTTCGTCAGCACCTGGATCGCAATTTGGTGCGTATAGTTACATCTTTTCAATATGCCTATATTATGTTTATATTTATTTTATAATGTATGTTTTTCAGGTCGATCACCTGCTTCTGCTTGTCAATGTTCACCGTGTTGACGTTCCTGATCGAAACGGAGAGGTTCCAGTACCCAGAGCGCCCAATTTTTGTGTTGGCATTTTGTCAGGCGATGGTGTAAGTCTAAAATATTAGATCTTACTTTATTTCCTTTTTTAATTTACTATTTACATTCATTATTTACACTTTTTAGGGCCGCCGGATTCTTGTTGAGGGCCTTTTTCGGGCATGAAGCTGTTGCGTGTGATTCCTGGAAGGTTCGAGGGCCAGATGAGGGAACCAACTTATGTTTTGTGGTGGGTTTTTGGAAAAAATGGGGTCGGTACTGAGCTATTATCAGGGGGGTAGCAGGGTAACTAATTTTTTCAGTAATTTTGTTGGGTCCGAAAACAAAAGATAAACCATTAGGCGCCGTATAGGCGGAAAACAAAAATTAGTTTTACTCCCCTGCTAAACCCCCCCCCCCGTTAAGAGACCAGTGCCCTAAGTTGTATTAAACTAACTAACTAACTAACTTATTAACTTTAAAAATTTTAGGTGTTCCTTCTTACCTACTTTTTCGGGATGGCCGCCTCGGTTTGGTGGGTGGTACTGTCTTTGACGTGGCTGTTGGCTGCTGGTAAGCCTGAATTTATTTTGGTTATTATTTATTTTGGACCATTTTATATATTATTAAATTAATTCTATATCTATTTTCAATATTTAGGCTGTAAATGGAGTACAGAAGCCATCGCCTCCTACAGTGTCCACTTCCACATCGTTGCTTGGGGTCTACCGGCTGTTCAGGTATTTAATTTTTGCTAAAAATATTTTTAATAAATAGTAATAGAAATATAAATAGCAACCTATACGATTTTTAGACGGGTCTGGCTCTCGCATTCTCGGCTATTGATGGTGATCCGGTATCAGGCATCTGCTACGTCGGCAACACGAACGTTCACTTCTTGAGGCTCTTTGTTTTGGGTAAGAAAAACAATAAAAAACTAGAACCCTCGATTTTTAGGCCCTCTCACCGTATACTTTGTATTTGGCGTCTTGTTCTTGGCCATCGGCTTCTTCAACTTGTGGCGCATTCGTATTGAGGCAAGTAGAAAAATTAAATATACAAAACCGGTGTTCTTCCGCCGTATCTCGTCTTCCTGTTCGTCTACAGGTGTGTAAAGTATACCAAAATGTTCGTCTTGATTTGACGAGTATTTTGACATACTTTACGACCATGTAAAATAAAATATAGTCGAGTTATAGTAGGAAAAAGAAGGCCGGCTGAGGGGAGGTATCTGCTGACTCCTCAAAAATCAATTTTCAACATACATTTACAGGTCCAAAAACAACAACACGGCCTGGAAAACGTCACGAAAGTAACGCAGCTAATGTCGAAGATTGGAATCTTTTCAGTCCTGTATACGGTATGATTAAACCTTAAATTCTCTTAAGAAACCATTACAGGTCCCAGCCCTGTTCTTGATCCTTGTCCTCTTCTATGAGCAGCGCCATCGGCCACTCTGGGAGCAAGCCGCTTTGTGCAGCTGCTCGAGCACCAAAGCTGATACTGGTTCGCTAATTCAACTTGCAAAAAATTGCAAATTTTAAGGAGAAGCCGCCTTGTTGCTGGCCCTGATCAAGACCGCCTCAATGCTGGTGGTCGGTTGGACGTCAGGGGTGTGGATTCTGTCGAAGAAGACGTTACGCTCTTGGCGGGATCGTTTTTGTTGTCTTTCGAATAGACATAAATATCAACCGGTTAGTTAAATCAAAATTAATTCAACTATACGCAAGTAATTTTAATTAAATAAATTTTAACGTAGTAACGTAAAGTAACGTAGTGTTGAAATTTTTTCATAGAATTCAGGGAAATTCGCTTATGGAAATGTCGGCATTCTGACAAATTTTGACAAAGACTCGAATTTTGACTAAATCGTTTCTATTACACTATTGTAATCTAAAATTAAAACTAGGGTATATTTTTGACGCCGTATCAGATTCCATTAAAAAAGCCGATAAAAAATATCGAAAATTTGCTTTATTTATTGCGCTTTTTATATATTTAAATGTTAAACTATTTTTATATCATATATATTTTAAATTCTATATATTTCAGGCTGAGCTAATCTACGGGAAAAGCGAATGTTCCACTCCTCATTTCTACAACACTACCCTCCGGCAGCACCACCTCTACAAACAGCCCATGTTGCCGGAAAAATTGTAGAAAATTCAGACTTTTTCTCCCAAAAATGTCCTATATTTATCGACATTTTATTCCCATCGTGATTTTTGACAATCTAGTCCGTGTGATATATTGAAACGAACTTAGAATTAATTATTTTACAATTTTTGTGCCTACCGTAATACCTCTAATTTTGCGAATTTTCAACCTTTTTTTATGTTTTCATGATCTCAGCGTTTCCGGATGATTTGGGTGCTCACTGGAACCGCATTTTTGACACCACTCAGGCTTTCACAGTGTCTGTTGTTTTCGACATTTATTTTCTACATGTGCATTAATGGCCTGTATCTCGAGCTTATGCCATTTTCCCCCACAAATATTTAGAATTGTATCACCATCGATTCTACCAAAAACAGAGCCTTTTCCACAGGGTGCTGCCCCCCTTGTTCTCAGCGATTTATTTGTATTTATAAATATTTGATGAAAAAGGTGATGATGCAGAATAGAAAACACAGGATTGGGTGGGGTACGGTAGATCTGTTGCAAGAATCGCCGACACAACAGTGAAATTGGCCGGATTGGCCGTTGTAGGAAATTTTTGAGCTGCCGCTTTTCTGAAAACTATATAGTTTTTAAAAGGAGGGAAAGGTTTGAAATAGAAATTTAATGATTCATATATTGCCATGCTAAAACTCTAACGCCTGCTTTTCGAAATTCGTAAAATCCGACATTTCAAGAATGTCGTCATTTTTACTGTCGAATTCTGAGACTTTCCGATATATCATTATTTCATTTAAATTTAGATTTACAGGATAATTTCTTACATTATCAAATTGGCATTAAAGATTTTTAGAAATTTATAATTTCGTCATTTTTCGGCATCATGATTTTCAAATTTTGAATGCTTCGACATTTTGAAAGTAACCCCCTATAAGACTTAAATATATACATTTCCTTAATTATTATCATAGCTAATTCTAACATACCGTACACGGCTTCCCTTTCATGTAGATATTGTTCACCTCCCCGCAACCACAGCCCCAATAAGAGGTATATTTTCCACCATTCTAAAAGAAGACAATAAGGGAGAGAGAGAGAGGAGAGAGAGAGAGAGAGAGAGAGAGGAGAGAGTGAGAGAGGAATGAAGAGAGAGTGAGAGAGAAATGGAGAGGGAGTGAGAGAGAGATAGAGAAAGGGAGAGGAGTGTGTGGAGAATGGAGAGTGAGAGTGAGAGAGAGGGAGATAGAGAGAGAAATGGAGAGGGAGTGGGAGAGAGAAATAGAGAGTGAGAGAGAATGAGAGTGAAGGGAGAGAGAGAGGGGGAGAGAGAGAGAGAGAGAGAGAGAGAGAGAAATGGAGAGGGAGTGAGAGAGGGATAGAGAGAGAGAAGAAAGAGATAGAGAGAAAGGCAGAGAGAAATGGAAAGCGAGTGAGAGAGAGAATGAGAGAGGGGATGAGAGAGAGAGAGAGAGAGAGAGAGAGAGAGAGAGAGAGAGTGAGAGCGAGGGAGGAGGATCAGAGACGAGAATCCAGACTTACCAAAAGTTCTATTTTGGAGCAATAGTCACAATCATGCCAGCACAGCTGTGTCGTTTTCTGAATTTGGGGCTCTTGATTTGTCGTAAAATTCGTCGTTATTTTTATTTCCATTCAAGAAAACACCGGTTTTCTTAAGGTCTCCATTTTCTTAATTCTATTATTTTTTCCTAAAATAAAATGGTGCAATTATCCGATGCAAAAATTAGTTAAAAACGTACATTTTCCGTATGTGCTTGCCCGTGTGTATTTGAATCAAAAAAGCATTCCATGGCCCAGACTGCCTGAATACAGCTAACAAAAATCCAAAGATTTTTCATAGCTGAAATTTCGGGAAGACAGACCCAAAACAGGAACTGCTTGAAAGGAAACCATGCCCCTTATCACACCCTTCAACAATAAGCCGCCGGATTACAATGTTTCTCGCGTGTGTGAAAACCAAACAAAAATCTCTTCCTAATTCTACGATGACCATCCTTACTAAAATCAGGCATGGTGGCCAAAGAACAGCGCTAGATTTTGGTACTGGACTGTTAGCTATTTATCCTCCCTCTAAAAATAAATACTTAAAAATAACCCCCTTTAAAAACCCTTTTAAAAAAAAAACCTAAAAAAAAAAAAAAAAAAAAAAACCCAAAAAAAAAAAAAAAAAAAAAAATTTCAAAAATAAAAAAAAAAAAAAATTAAAAAAAATAAAATAAAAAAAAAAAAAAAAAAAAAAAAAAACAAAAAACCCCCAAAAAAAAAAAAAAAAAAAAAAAAAAAACCCCCCCCCCCCCCACCACCCACCCCCCCCAATTTTTATAAAAAAAAAAAAAAGGGGAAAAAAAAGGAAAAAAAAAAATTTTTATAAAAAAAAAAATTTCCCTTTTTAAAAAAAACCCCAAAAAAAAAAAAAAAAAAAAAAAAAAAAAATTTTTTTTTCTTTAAAACCCCCCTTTAAAAAAAAAAAAAAAAAAAAAAAATAAAAAAAAAAAAAAAAAAAATTATAAATTTGTTTTAATTTTTCCCCTTTTTTTTTTCCCCCCCCCCCCCAATTAAAAAATCCCCCCCCGTTCTCCCCCCCGTTAAGCGACCTTTACCGATTTTTGTGTAATGATTTAAAATCGACGCAATTCCAGAGAGTCGACGAATAAAGCTTTTTATTAACATTTAATACCCGATTAAACAACTCGTAACAGGAAATTGACGTATAGTGCAAGGGTCAAAATAAAGCATTTAAAGTGAAAGACATAAAAGCTCGAGTAATTAAAAAACCATTCAAAAGAAACTTGAATAAAGTTACTAATGTGCTTTTCGCTGGCGCTTCTTTCCGGTTTTCTTAGCCGAAGTGACCTCTGGCTTAACGTCCTCCACTTTCTCTTCCGCGTCCATAACATCCTCATAATCCTCAGGATTCGGGCTTCGTTTGATAGTCACAGCCAATTGTTTCCTGGCCAATTCTCGGGCCTCTTCAGGAAGCGTTGTATCTTGTACCTGCTTCTTCAATCCCTCCACAAGATCTGATATTCCGAAAATTCTTGGCGATGGATCGTCGTTCGACGGGCTCATGAATCCGTCAAAACTTGTCGTCATCGGGGTTGCGGCCATCACGATATTCTGGACGTATTGTTCTTGCGCTGCCACTATTAGGCTAACCAGTGGCTGCTCAAACGTCATTCCTTGCTGCGCGAGTTTCAAAGCCAGTAGGGCTCGAATATCGCCAACCGATGTCAAATCAGGATTTGGCCGTCCGTCGGCATCCTTCATATTTTGCCGAGCAGTCTTCTTAAGTGAAATATCCGTATTGGCGAATTCCCAGAGAATTGTACGAATTTCCGAGTTTTCTTTTGGAAATTTGCCGCCGAGAATGTCCGTTACGGTCTTGGCATATTCCACAAGGCCAATGGTACCGCGGAAGAATCCAATGTAGGTGTTCAGCCATTTCGTGTAATTCTCGTCGGATAGGCCTGTCTTCAGCAGCTGAAGCAGTTCGTGTAGACGCGCCATGTCTTCGTTGATTTTTTTCTGATCACCATCATAGTCATCTTCTTCTTCATATTCATCTGGGAAGAAAGGTGCGAGCAGGGAACGTGCGGCGTACGACGACATCCGAACTGAAAAAAGTGGTTTAGAATGCCGGAATTCTTTTGAAAAATAAACTAGTAAAGAATACATAACAAAATAGAAAAAAATGGCAACTTTTGAAAGTAATGCAATTTGCATATGGAGTAGAGGCGACATGGTTACGCGGCGTAATATCGGAAAGTCGCGTAGTGTGGAGCATGGGCTGGGATGGGCCAGATCAATGGTGCATGGAGGTAAGCATATCAAAAAGGCCATCTGTCCTATTTTAAAAAGTAATTCTTTCTCGCCAAAAATTGATGATATTTTTTTGAACTATACCTTTATGAATTGCGTTGAATTATTTGAATTACGATAATTTATTTTTCAGCAGAACGTCTGTAATGGCTTCTACCTCTCACGGCAGCGTCTTCAGAGATGGTTCCTCGGAATCGGAATTCGCGCCTGATCAACATCTTATTGATACGCTATTGACACAAGTAGGTATATTGGATCACACATTTATTTTGAGCTTGAGAGCTTGGGATTGAGAGCTTGAGTTAGAGAGCATGAGCCTGAAAGCTTGAGCTCGAGAGCTTGATTTGAGAGCTTGAACTTGAGAATTTGAGATATAGAGCTTGGCTTGAAAGCTGGATTTGAGATTTGAGCTTGAAAGCGTGAGCTTGAGAGTTTGAGCTAAGAATTTGAGCTAGAAAACTGGACAGTTTGAGCTTGAGTGCTTGAGTTTGACAGTTTGAGCTTGAGAGATTGAGCTTAAAATCTTAAGCTTAAGCTAAATAGCTTGAGCCTAAGAGCTTGAGCTTGAGAGCTTGAGAGCTTGAGAGCTTGACGTTTGAGGCTTGAGTTGAGAGCGACGTTGCGCGAGGCGTCAGAGAATTTGAGCTTGAGGGTGAGCAGGCTTAAGAGCTTAAGCTTTGAGAGGTTGAGTTATACGATGATGAGGTTAAAACAGCCTTAGCCTAAGCCTAAGTAAGAAAAATTCCAGCCCTCAATTACCTCCTAGCAAAAACCTATTGAAAAAAATTCTAAAACTCTATGTAACATTTTCAGGTTGATAACGATACAGTTGAAGCAATTATTGAGACACAAAAACAAAGGTAGTTTTCTAAGCCATTTAAACTTTTTTTATTCCGTTTTCAGCCTCTATCGTTTCGAAAAAACTAATGAAATGATGAGCAACTGTAACCAGCTCTCAGAAAAAAGACTGGATCGAGCGAGGTATTAAACCTTATTCTATTTAAAGTTTAAACAAGGAAAAGAAAATGCTATATTTTTAGAAGAGACATGATCGCCCATAAAGAAATGATCGGACAGATGAAGGGCGACCTTGAATTTATTTTCCGGAAAATACGGCTCTTTAAGAATGCGCTTGCCAGCAAGTATCCGGGTGTTTATAAACAAGGTTTGTTTGCAGTAAAATAAAATTAATAAAAATTAAT